TAAAAGACGTTTATGCACTAGCGTTCCAAAAGTGGAAGGTAGCGGTCAAGCGTGAGGGAGTCCAGCCACCTTAAGGCAGTCAAATAAAAATAAGTACGCTCACAACTATTTTCGCTCACGGCTGCTTGTTGGTTATTCACGCTTGTCTTCCGTGTTATATTCCTTGTCGCGTGCTGTTACGGCTGGCGCTGCACCGCCTACGCTTTGCTGAGCTCTTACTTCTATTTTTACCTTTCAGTTTCATTCATCGTTCTCCCTGGTACTTCCGTATCGGGAGCTCCGCTTTTAGGCAGTGCCTAAATATATATATTATATTCAAATGGTCATATCTCAGCTGATATTTGCCCGATTCTCGTCCAATTTGGTGTGAAAAATTCTTTTTTGATTGTCTATAGAAATTAGAGATCGAAAATAATTAAAGTCAAAATGTATTTCTTTGTGACGTCAACTTGAGTACTGTATTGTCAAGTTATTCCCCCAGGGGTGCCCCATACTCCATTGATTCAGATTGCGTGTTAGTAGTCCAGAATGCTCAGCGCAAAGCTATTATCCTGAAAAAAATAATAACAATGGCGCCCTATTCGTGAATAAAGAAAGAACGAGAAAGTTCTGCTAGGATTTAACCACAGAAAGCCGTATCTACAACTACTTCTTACTTATTTATCTTCTCATTGCTTGGTTTTTAAATGAAACGAGCTTAGTTTACACTTATTTGGCGAATTGAGTTCAACATTCGAGGCTGTGTTGAGCCAGTCTTGGGCCTTGGCACTGACTAATAAACAGCCCTGTCGTTTGATCAAAAAAAATATTTGAGCCGTCCTCTCGGGGGAAAACACGGAACTATATATCATGGAACAAGCCATCGAACACCACTGGTAAGTGGGCATGAAACAGCATTTAGGTTTTCGTTATTTGACCAATATATCAGACGTCTATAATTTCTGTACTGTTCTCTGACTTGCGGCATGTTAAAACCATCAAGCTTACTGTGTGATCGTAACTCATCATCATATTCTTTCTCTTCAGGTTCTACATGCTGCTGGATACTTCTAGAATGCTTACTATTATTATTTCAATTCTGCTTATCGTTTATGGTAGTTTTAGGTAAGCTCGATCGTGAGTCAGTAAGCTAATTTTACTTTAAAATAGAGTTAAGCTTACTGTAAGCTTTATTATAGAAGTTAAAATAATATAGACGTCGCATTAGTAAAAATAACCATTTTATAATATTACTTAACGTAAAAGAAATAGTCACAGCTAACTTCTTTTTTAATTCTGAATGTTATGATAAAGAAAGTGACGATCTCAGCTAAGATATGAAGAAGAATTCCAAGCGACAGTTTTGTAGCAAAAACACGCACGCGTGCATCATCATTATTTTAAAAATCTTTTTAATTTTTAATACCACCATCTGGTTTAATGGCTTTTCGATTCTTACAACTGACAAGATACAAAATATTAATATCACAAAATATCAAAGAAGTCTAATTACATGTAAAAGTGTCATTTATGACTTTAGAATGTGGCTAAAAGTTAATACTCCTTTATTAATTAGTTATTGATTTATATATGACATGTGCTTTTTTATTGTTTGTTGTTATTGTTTTTATAAATTTAATTTTTTTCGTCAGCATACACTGTAATAAAACTCAAGTTATTTTTTCCCCCCTACAAATTATTTATATAATAAATCTAATAATATATAAATATAATAAAATTGGTCACAATTTATATTTTATGTTGCTACATGTATATATATTCGCCTACAGTTGAATATAGCAGTGAAGATATTTTTGAAAAATGAGGATGAGCCGGTTCGTCAATAAAACAAAAAATGTTCTCCTGTTTATTAAATTGTGTTAAAAATACTATGCGGGAATATTTAACTTGCCAATTGAAGACTTATGTCTTAGTAAAAATTCCCCAATATTCACTTCGGCTTCAGCAAATAATAATATTGTTAAATATTACTTATATTACTTAATTGAATAAGATAATATTAATTAATAATTGTAATTTTGGGTTGTTTTGCAGTTGCTTTTGCATAACTTTTTACAAACACATGATTTCGATGTTACCTGTAGTTCAGAAATTAACAAGCTGTCTACCAAACTTCCGAACTTCAAAACAAAATTCTTCATAAACATTCTGAACTACCCACCAAAATTATGCACTTGATTTGGTTTGAAGTTTAGCAGTATACTAAAATAAATATATTTCTTCGAAATGTTGAATTTATTTTATGCGAAAGCTACTGTAAAATGTTTTTGCAACAAAACACAGTTTGCATGGAGAAACTCTTTCATGTTTATCCAGTGCACATGTATCATTTATCACATCAGTTGCAAGGGAAGTATTGTTGGTTTGATCTGGCAGGCAAACATAGCTCTAACCAAGGCCTTCTGGAATTTTTTTCTTAGTACAGTTGGTTGTTGGTTTCCTTGTAGCTTTATTTTATTCTTTTCCTCTTGTTTTGTCCAAACACAGAAAAAAAAACTTTTAAGTTTTAATGGGATTGATTGTATTCTGTGGAACTGAAACTGCTGTAATACCACCAGTTACAACACTTCATCTTATATATATATATTAGTGGTTTTCACCTATGTCACCAAAAACTGCCAGGATTTATATGAAATAAAGCTTCCACAGGCCTAAAGAGTGTTCAGTATTTCATTATGACTTTGATAGCTTTTTATTTATTTTGAACCTTATCTTATATTTATCCATCGGTCTATTTTTATGATTGGTATGTTTAACTGCAAATAGGGGTTTATATTGGTGGCTGGGTGTGAGAAGATGTATCCTATACAGGATATGTGTTTTCTTCCAGCTGTGTTAAATGCCAACCTGTATTGGCAATTCAAAATCGTAATAAGTTTGTAATGTGATTCTCCTAGATCGCAAGGTAATTCTGAGCCGGCAATGCAGTTTTAGGCCTCCCCATCTCAATGAAACTTATAGGAGAATGATCATGATACAATCATGTATTCAGTTATCTGAGACAAATTAATATTGGTTTATTGCTTGATCTGTGATTTTCCTATTAAGTCGTTAAAGTTGCAAGTTTACACATTAACTTTTTTTTTCTCAGGGCATTAGGACTTGATAGTGCTTGTAAAACAGAAAACGAGTCCAGTGAAGGGCAAGAACAGGACAAGAATGGTTCTCTACTCAGTGGAGTAATGGATGGTAATGTTAAAGTGCTTATAAGCCTTTTCACAATATTTTCAGAATTGATTCTTTAGATAGTGAATAGTTGATTGTGAAAATAATTCGTCATTTGAATGTTGGGTCTTTAAGATACGAAGGTTTATATTCCCAATATGTTAATGACTATGACGTAACATAAGGGATCATTTAATATACAACACTGCACTCGTTCTGGAATACAGTATTTTAAAAGCATCACCCTTTTACTTGTGACTCACGTAAAGGTTCTTACAAATTTGTTTTCAAAAAACGTCCAGCGTCCAATATTAAAAGTTGCCACAAAATAACTTAAATCCCTTATGTTACGTCATAATCATTAACATATTGGAAATATAAACCTTCTTATCTCAAAGACCCGACATTCAAATGACAAATTATTTTCACAATCAACTATTCATTATTTAAAGAATCAATTCTGAAAATATTGTGTAAAGGCTTATAAGCACTTTAACTATTGTAGCAATGTCACTGCTATATTTATTCCTGAAATTTTATTACTTGCCTCTCATTTCTGGGGTCTCAGGATTTACATGTATTCCTGGAATATTATTATTTGCCTCTCATTCCTGGGGTCTCAGGATTTATTCCTGGACTCACCATCACATGCGAGTACTGCATAACTTTGGTTGTAACTACTGTACTGTAGGTGTCTCCCTAGATTTGAGGGTTTTAATTCTCCTAAGATGCTAAAATACAATTCAATCTGTGAATTAGTTTTACTTCATCAGCCCAGGGTTGTTTTAGGTACTGTCAACAAAATTTGAAGGTTGAAGGGAATCTTTAGCAAAATGTGGCATTGTTATTCTTGCAATTGCAAGCTACTGTATAGTTCTAGTGGTCAAGTAATTTTGAAACCTATCAATCAAAGAAGGGTGGGGAATGGGTAAAGTAGAGTTGAAATCTCTCACCAGTTAATGTGACCCAGGTATAATTGATTTTGAACTCAAAATATATATTATTTTTAGACAACAGACTGAGCAAAAAATAAATATTGCTCAGTTTTGGGATTTCAGGTGTTGTTTAAAATATACTCAATGAATCTCATTTGTAACTCTTTTTTTCCCACCCATGCAGGTTTCCAAACAATAACAACAGCTCAAGCTATTTTTCTTCCTATTGGAGCATCTTGCTCTCTCCTCATCATGTTTTTCTTCTTTGATACTCTTCAGTTCTTCTTTGCTCTATGTACTGCTGGTAAGTTGTGTACATGTGCACCTCAATTTTCTGAGCATGTACTTAACTTAATGCCAGGCGTGATATAATTATTATTTTTTATTTTACACACTTAATATTGGTATTTACTTATTAAAAACTTTGTGTTACATTGGCATCAATGGTGAATGCCATCTGATGCCATCATCAGAATCAGAATGTTGCTAGTAATAAATACTGTATTACATTAAAAACAGCAAAAAGACTCATTAATTTAAATAATATTTAATATTTGTTAAAAATTTAAAAAATGATGGCGACATTAATTATGTAATATTTATTTCTGTTATCATTTTTTAATATTTCAATTAATTTAAATAATATTTCATATTTGTTAAAAATTTAAAAAATGATGGCAACATTAATTATGTAATATTTATTTCTGTTATCATTTTTTAATATTTCAATGTTTCAATGTTTGTTTTTTCCAGTTCTTGCAACAGTTGCTTTCTCATTTCTACTTCTTCCTGTTTGCCAAGGTCTTTTAAAGCCCTGTGGCAAGAACAACAATCACAAGTAAGCAACAACAACATACTCTCAAATTCCTAACAGGCTAAATACAATAGAGGCACACCTATTACATGCACGTTCCCCAATACTACAGTACTACATGTATATTGTTGCAAGGGATTAAATATCTCAGGTACTACATGTACGTACATCTGTGTAACAAGTATTTTTGCTCATCATTGAGGTATGACTAAGCTAAAGCTAATTTGGCCAGTCATCATGAGGGGCAACTCACCAGCTGTTACATTTGACCCTTTTTTTAGACCAGTTGTGTAATAATCAGGGGCATAGCCAACATTTTACAAGGGGGGGGGGGGGGGGGGGGGGATAAGAAAATCTGCTATTTTGTTTTGGCCCCCAAAAATACTGAACAGAAAAAAAAGGAGCGACATTGCATTTTACATATCAATTTTGCAATTCTGACCAAAGCAAATGAAAATTAGGAAGTAAATTCCAAAAAGCCATCATTTTGTTTCCACGAGGGGGCGGCATGTTCCCCCTCGCCCCCCTACCTACGCCCTTGGTAATGTCACAATTTGACTCTTTTATATGACCTTGATCGGTCTTTGGGGGGAAAATCAGTACATGTACAGTATATAACTTTATTATATTATAATATTGTATTATCTTCATCAGTCTAGTTTGTTAAATTATTAATTTTATTCTGCTTATTTTCAGGGTATCACTTGGTTTCTGTGGTCGTTTTACATTTGCAGAGTTGATGTCCCTATTATTTTCTGCACTCTTAGTGATGGTGTGGATTTTGACAGGTCACTGGATTCTTATGGATGGTAGGTACACATTAGTTTTTATCACAGCTAGGCCCTGCCAGGAAATTGCTGTATTATTATACAGTGTTTTTCTTTTACCTTCTGTTGTTGCTGCCACTGGTGCTGTTGCTGCAAGGCAACTAGGCAGTGCCATGCAATTCTAGGAGAATAGCGATTAATGGAGTGCATGTTTATAGTGATACTGTACTTTATGTAACATTTTTCTTTGTTGATTATGTTACAATAACATACAAATTTCTCATGTGCTGATTGGCTATCTTTTATCGTAAGAGGACAGAGGACAGACAAATAAGCTGACATCAAGTACATGCTCTTTCTGTTTTTTTTTTNTTTTTTTTTTTTTTTTTTTTTTTTTTGATTACTAAAAACGTTTTACTAAAAAAGTTTTACTCTTTTTTGTTGTTGTTTTGTTATTGTAAATAATGAATTTACACCAATTTCTTGCTTCTCATTGATGATAAATTTCAACATCACACTGTCAAAGTAGTATGCAAGGCATAGCCGAATGGATGCACACTACAGTACGTTGACAATGTGATGACACAATTTATTGCCGAGAGGACAGACAAATAAAAAACTGTAAATTTGTTAATTTGCCAACTACAGAAAGCATTTGGTTGGTGACACAAAGCCACTCGTGACAAATATTATGTTGCAACTACATTAACCAAGGCCATCCACATTTAAATTTTAAGTCAAATTCACAAACCTTGTTTTTGATGTTGAATAATATGATGGTGTCGAATTATTGAGTTTAAACTGTTTCTTGTTCACTCCTGATCGCACACACACTTACCAAATAAAATATACACTTTTAGAGGGGAAAATATGAGCATTTGTGCAGATCCTATTGCATAATACTCAGTCGTGATTGGCTTTTTTGTTTAGAAAATTTTCTGAGGTGGCCTTGGTTGGTATGGTGGCACTGTAACATCAGCATGTTTTTGCTTGTGAACATGAAGTATTGGTATAGAAACACAAATTGTTGGATGCAAACAGTAATGACAATCGCTATAATTTGTCAGGGCAGATCCAGTGGAACGTCAAACTAAGTTATTACTTCTTACAGCCATTCTCAATCATGTGCTGCTATTATCGTCCACCAAAACCTTCATCACAACTAAAACAATCGCTAGAGGGCGCATGTGAATGAAAATGGCTGTAATGCACTTTCTTCTAAAATAAAATGTTTTTTTCTTCTAGCTTTAGCAATGGGTCTATGTGTCTCGATGATTGCTTATATCAGACTACCAAGTCTAAAAGTCTCAACTCTATTACTCACTGGACTTCTTATCTATGATGTATTCTGGGTAAGCTAAGCAAAATTTATTTGGTTCCCTTGCACACTTTCTTTTATTCAGAAATATGAATTTGAACAAGAAAAAAAATTTGCAAAGTATTTTGGTATTGGTAGTAAGATGACGCCATCATGCAAATGGCCTATTAAGAATAGTTGGGTGCTTAGTTTGAAAAGAAGGAAAAATTCAAGTGTGACATATATTCTGTTTTTCCCACCACAACATCTTTTCTTTTTTCTCGTTTTTTTCTCGCTACTTGGACATAATGTTTTCCCTTTTCAGACCACTTGTCAGACCAGTTCCTAGAGTATCATTTCTTTGTTTAATGGCTGCGCATAACGAGACCTATGAATATAGTTACAACTCAAACAAAGAATCTTATTCTCAAAGGAATAGCAAGTGGTCTGAATAGGGAAACATTACGTCCAAGTGGATCTGGTCAATAGATAGTATTGCTCGTGAAGCCATTTTAAAATTAGCCTATAGGATGGTTTGATATGTAAATACATATTAGATATTTTTTGAAAATATCAACCTTTAATGAGTTGTGGTTTTCGACGGCGTGCAGCTACAAATTTAAAAACATCCGTTAAAAATAAAATAACACTGAACGTGTGAAAAAAATGCTAAATGATTATGTTGTTCCGATGAATTGTCTTATTTTATTGTCTGGGCTCATGAAAGGCTTTGCTTCTTGTCTCAAAAACCAGACCTGATTTCAGGCCAATCAACAAAGGTGTTTGACAAATGTAATATGCACTGTATGTAAACAGACAATAAACCGTCTTCAGTGTGCGTATAGAAAGTAAATATCTCACGTAGATCAAAATTAAAACGACTTTCATAAGCTGCTTGACCCGGTCAGACAGTATATGGAGTAGAAGCAATCCCAAATTGTTTACATCGTTTCCACTACATTATTTATTTATTTATTTATTATATATTGTGTATGTATAATTTTTTTTCTTGGATTGGTTCCATAACTCATGTTACCATCACAAAATAAAAACAACAGTTTGCCATCTCCCCTTCTCCCCCCCCCCCCCCCCCCCCCNTTTTTTTTCTTTTTTAAATTACCATTTTTTAAAAATCTATTTGCAGGTATTCTTTTCTGCCTATATTTTTAAAGCCAACGTTATGGTGAAAGTGGCTACCCAGCAGGCCGGCAACCCGGTGAGTAAGCAGTCAATGATTTTCAACGAAATACATGTATATAATGGAGATGTGACACGTCTAGCTTGTCTTGCGAGCGTGAATTTAACTTCATCCCTACACTTCCCCTTCTGCGCGTTTGGAAGGCATGCATTCTACTTTCATCTGGTTTCGACCCACATTAGTCATAAGTATGTCCTGCTTCCCCACTCAAATGACTAAAGAGAATAGAGAATAAAAGAACAGTGGAAAAACGAAGGGGTTGCGCGGTCTCGTCGAAAACCGTCGTCATATCTGTTGAACTAAGATCTATTAAGTGGAGCTTTTAAGGTGTGTCGTCTTTCCTAATCAATATTTGCCAAGATAAATAAAGATTTACCCAGGCCATTATCTAGTATGACACGACCCTATCTATCTGTCTGATCGTCAAGTCTTAGCTAAGATATCAGCTTAACTTTAATTACCTGGAAATGATATAGTTTAGTTCCAGTGACATCATAAATATCGTATCGATGACACAAGCTAATGTATTGCACATGTTCGAAAAATAGAGGAGACAGCCTTAGAACTTTACATGTTATTCTGATTTATGTTTTTTAGGTGGCATTTGTCGCAAATAAACTTAATCTTAATTCCTTTATGAATTCATCTCCGCAAATTTCTCTTCCGGGAAAGCTTGTTTTTCCAAGGTACTGTAGATACTTTAAATAGCCTGTTACTGCAATTTTCATACAATGCCAACTCTTTATCTCTGAGTTGCACGCTGAAATTTGGTTTTTCGCTGCCGCTGGTCAAAAATATGAACGGTACCGTCTGATTAGGTTTGATTGACGGCAGTGGAAAAAAAAAATTTCAGCGTGCAACTCGAAGACACAGAGTTCCCATGTGTATGAAGATGCAATAATATATTTTATATAAGATAACTGTCATAAACCTCGCATTCTAATTGGTTGGGAGCGCGTGCTTTATACAGCACGCACGCGCCCTTTGCATTATATAAAAGAAATAAAAAACTGTGTGGAGTTATAAAGCACTTGGGGATTGGCAGAACACTCGAGAAGCGTCAAGAAGTCCTCCGCTACGCGTCGTACTTCTCCTAACACTTCTCTCGTGTTCTGCCAATCCCCGTGTGCTTTATAACTGCACACAGCACGCGCGCTCGTTTTCTATTTCTTCAATCATATTTCCTTATTAGCCATTAGTCGAGTCCAGTTAGAATTACATACCATGGACTCATATCCAAGATGACAGCTAATTCGTCTCTTAAAACAGTCCCGCATGTATTACTCTTCCAACTGGACCCAGTTTTTTTCCCGCAAGCTTGGATTGGCTAATAGGGAAGTGTCTATGTTAATCCTAGTCGATTTTAAGCCCAATATGAAAGCTTCATTCTTCCTTTAGGTCCCTCCCGCAACCCTACTATTTTATTAAAGTGTGTGGATGGGGGAATGGGAGATAAGGCTTGCCATGATTGGGAGGGCTAGTAAGGATTTTAACTTGCATGCGCTAAGAACTGTAATCCTCTGTCCTATTGTATTTTATTATGAATTTCCTAAACGTAAAAAGCCCTCTCCGACCCTCCCTCCCTTCCTCACATCCCATAGAATTATGTAATTAAGTTAGACTGAGGACTGGGTAAAGACCAATAGACGTGACAGATATTTTATCTTAGAGTTCCAATTTACTCCTTTCCTATGACATTTTTGTTTGCAGTCAAGAACGTGGCAGATTTTCAATGCTGGGTTTAGGAGATATAGTAAGTACATAATTGGACATTTACTGAGCCGTCTGTGTTTATGCTATATTTACGGCGGCTTTGAGGGATGGTTCTCAGATAAGTTAAAAAAGCCATTTTTGAGTCGCCTGTTAATGCACATCGTTGATTAGCAAGAATGCTTAGACCAACAGCCACAAAACCATGGCAACCACATGTACGCTGTGAAGCACGGGTGAAAGCTAATGTGCCTCGGATGCGCCATGATATGTGATGAGGGTTGTGTATTGGTTCTCTTCTGTGCTTAAAGGGTTATCCACTTGATTCTCTGATTTTCCACCCCCAGCGAAACTCAACTTCCAAATTTTAATACGACCTTCAGGATTTCATCTAGACTGGAACCCCCTTATGTTACCATTGTTCCGCTCGCTTTGTGGTACAAAAAGGAAATTAAAGTAAATAGGCCTAATTTATTTGTCTTCATTTCAGATAATTGCCTATAGTGTTATTTATTTGTTTAACGCTTGCGCACGAGAAAAAGCATGAATACTAATATTGAATTTAAGTAAATAGGCCTGATTTATTTGTCCTCATTTCAGATAATAGCCTATAGTAAGATTTATTTTTTTAATGCTTGCCCACGAGAAAACGCATGAATATTGATAGAATTCAAACAAGGCGGACTCACGTGCGCCGTGATTCTTGTTCTCAAGAAAATGACATGTGGTCTGAAATGAGAAAACATTGCACCCAAGCGTAAAAAAGATCCATTAGATCCAAAGATCTCTGTAAGTCATTACTAACTTTGGGTATTGATGATCTGTTTCAGGTAATGCCTGGTCTTTTGCTATGTTTCGTAATGCGTTATGATAAATACAAGAAAATGCAAGCTCAAGCTCCAGAGACGGAGAGCAAAATTACATATTTTCATTGTTCACTTATAGGATATATTGTAGGTAAGTCACCGCCTACCTCGCCGTTTTCTGCACACTTGTAGTTATTTTATAATTGCACCCTGTATTGACCTAGGATAAAGCGAAATCAATAGTCCATTTTCTATATCTGAAGATTCAGACTTCATTGCGAGGCTGTAGTTGTGTGTATGTTGTATGGTACTTGATGTAATGTATAAATACGTGGATCACCAAACACACTTACCTTTCATCAATTATATGAAAATGTTTGTTGTCGTCCTACAAGACCCTAGTAGAGAAGTGGGGTTACCTGCTACTCATCACCTCTGGACGTAAAATCCAGGATTCTGTCATCAAAGTCTCACAAAGCTAAAAGTCAAATCGCAGAAATGAATGTACTGTCTTGCATGTATGACAAGCAACGTATTCGTATATAGAAAAACTCACAACAAAATCTAAATAATATGAGTCAGTACAATTTCTTCTTTGCGTCTACCTTGGATGGCAATATATAGTGGAACAGTAGGCTAATTCTAGATTTGTTATAGGACTTGTGACAGCAACAGTTGCCTCAGAGGTCTACAAAGCTGCCCAGCCTGCTCTTCTTTACCTAGTACCTTTTACTTTATTACCTATCTTAATTATGGCATACATCAAGGTAAATGTATCATTTTATTTATTATTATTATGGGAGCCAGAGCAAATTGAGGTGAAAGGCCCACGCCCCAATGCACCTATCCCTAACCACTACCCCCTCATTTTAGAAGACAGATGTGAGCACTTGAGTGATGTTTAGTGTGATGGTTTGGTTTGTAACTTTAGGAGGGTGATGTGCGCACTCAGTGATGTTTAGTGTGATGGTTTGGTTTGTAACTTTGTGAGAGTGATGTGCGCACTCAGTGATGTTTAGTGTGATAGTTTGGTTTGTAACTTTAGGAGGGTGATGTGCGCGCTCAGTGATGTTTAGTGTGATAGTTTAGTTTGTAATATTGAATTGCGAAATTATTTATTCTTTCTCTTCTCTTCTCTTCTCTTCTCTTCTGATTCTTAATGCGTTCCAAACTGTGACGTCATCCTAGACAAATAACCAAGAAAAAGTAAAAAACAAAACAAAACAAAACAAAAGCAAAAACAAAAACAAAAAAAACATTTTAAAAAAAACGAAAAGTTAAAATAACCAAGCCTAACTTTATCGTTTTGCTTTTTTAAAAAATGGAGGGAGATTGAAAGTATGTGGCAAGATCTTGCACCAGCTTGCAATCGTTTACCTAAATCTACCGATCATCTCTTCATATCCTTTAGGGTGACCTACGAAAGATGTGGCAAGATCCTTTTATAGTAAATGGAGGTATATTAAAGGCAAAGTTTATGGATGTATGAAAGATCCAGTTCCAGTGAAAAAGTAGCGTATATAAAGGAAAATTTCATCCAAAGCAAGAGAATGCATCCAAATGACAGAAGTTTGGGTTAGCTGAGCGTCTGTTTACCCATGCACAAAAAGATCAACATGTCTTTCGCGGATTAATGGCCCCTGAAAGTGCTTCGAAAAATTTGTTTTGCGATTCTCTAATTGCTCGTTGCTGTTCTATTCAGTGCATAGCTTTTGAAAGTGGAGGCTGATTGCGCCTCGGTCGATTTTAGCAAGCTATAAACATTATGAAAATTGTTTTAACTTTCATTACGAATAGGTGTATTGATTATTCTGTGAAGCAATATGTATATATATAAGGGGGAAAAATGACGTCCCGCGGCTTAAGGTCCCCACTATGTAAATCGTTTGAAGTTTAAGTGATCTATGATATGATAGCTAATCAATCAGAAAGACTGGTTTTTAGGACTTTTTTATTTCTTTTATTTCACCTATTTTTCACTTATTCATTTATTTTCTTTCTTCTTTCTGGTGGCCACACGTTTACCCTCGAAAACAATTGGATTTTTAGCATTTCAGACCCCAGGATTGTCAGAGATATTGACCACTAGTAGCTTAGCCAATCAGAACGCATTTTTTATTGCAGTTTATTAATACCAGTAAAGTATATCAATTACTGTATACAATAAACTGAAACTTCGCCTTTTTGCGAATAGTGCTAGTTGCTGTGATGTAAGCTATCGTTATTACTATGCCGACCATCGATTCGCTGATGAAACTAAGAAACGTGACAAGAACTATTGTGATAATGGGTGGCAAATTAACATCACAGTGCCTATGTCTGTAAACACCAACTATAGCCTGCGTCGCATCCGGAGAAATACCCCGGTAAACTTTACGGGGGTATTTGTCCGAATGTGACGCAGGCTAAACAGCTAGAGGGGTAGGGTCAAATTATTGTATAGCAGAAGTAAATTCACTATTTTTTTGCTTTTTAGTCGAGGCTGTAAGTTATTTTTAATATTACCTTTAAATTAACTTACAGCCAATAAAACAGACCAGTGAAACGATGTATGGAAAGTGTCGGTGGACAGAAAACATAACCTTGTTAAAAATCTACATTCCGATCAATACCATCTATCATTGAATGCTGAAATTTTCTTCGATTCTTTTTGAGATAAACGAAAAATAAAGATATGCTTGATTTAGATGTTTAATACAAAGACTCGATTCATATCGGAGTTACAATCATTGCGTAAGTCCGTATATCACTAGTTAATATTTCTTATATATAGTTAGTCTCTAAATATTCCAATACTTCTAGGATTCAAGTTAATTAATGCTAATCAATATTAATCTCCTAATTATACAGCTTCTCATTAATCCCAAGTAGGTAACTGTCCAATTATTTTCTTATGTTGGACAGGTCTTGTTGATATGGGATTAATTAGGCAGCTATATAATTAATAGGTAATGGTATTTCATGCTCCCCAATCAAAAAATAATCAGACACGAAAAATTCCTCTGAGTGCCAAATTGGAATCGGCTTACGGCCTCATCCAAATTCGTCAGTCCTTGGAATTTTCCTCGTACCATTGTTTCTTAATTGGAGAGCATGGAGTCCTATTAGTATAGGAAATCGCACGATCTTCTCGTACAATTTGGAAATTAATAGACACGAGTAATGTTTTGAAAGTTCTTGTAATTGCACGAGCCTTTAGGCGAGTGCAATTAAAGAACTTTCAAAGCATTACGAGTGTCTATTAATTCCAAATTGTACGAGAAGATCGTGCGGTTTTTTGTTTATAGTTCACTCAACAAAATTTCAGTAAAAAATGCGAAGAGACGCCGTTCATCTTTGTCTATTTGGCGGCCGATTTTCAGTCCATCGCGCAACTGAAATGCATAAAAAAGATTAGTTCTTACGGTTTTAAAATTTTATTTATATGTTTTTTAAGTACAAAATGATAGAAAATAATTGTTTTGGGCGTGTTGCCATAGCGACTTAATTCGGTACTCCTACAGAGTACAATTAACGCTATAATTGTACTCCTCTCGACCAATCAGAGTCGATTAATTTTGTTGAGTGTACTATAACATATACTAATATATTAATAGAAATTAAGTATTATTTAAAAATATCCGCGGAAGCTTTTCCCAACAGCTGAAACATTTGAATAAACCTATTCGAAAAGAAATAGAGTTTTATAATTGTTTATGTTCGAAACCTTCATATCAGTGCTGATGTAAATAGTTCAACCTTGGGATACACGCAAATATTTGTACTCGTGCAGCCATATTAGTTTTCAAAATGCGAGGACGTAAAACTAGTACTGTGATGGCAGAAAATTGTTGATACTTGCTTATGTTTCTACTGTCCTGTGATAATGCAGAAAATTGTCATGTGATCCTTGAAGTACCCCTTTAATTCTTAGTTTCTTGTGTGATTTTTTTATCCCACTGGAAAAACTCAGCTGCTGAGGCAATGTTTAGCTATAGCTCGATATTTTCCAAGTCATAACCATTATAAGAGTAGATTTTGTATGAATGTGGTGAACCGCTCATACGATCACTGTCGTGGCACGAAAACAAAACCATCTGCACAAACCAGTCACAAAGCGATAGTTCCTAGTCTCCCTCACAGCCGTTTTCAGTGTCGTCACGCAACGCTTTCTTCCCTGAATAGCTACTCGGGGGAGAAAGCATTGCGTTACGACACTGAAAGCGGCTGTGGAGTAGACTAGATAGTTCCGTGATGGGGAGCCGAACGGGTTGACGCCGATGAATGGGACTCAAAAACCCGTCCGGCTCTCATCGTTCACGCGCGCTGTATGTATCGATTTTACTGCAGGATTTTCCCGTCTTTTTTTACAACAAAACGTTGGTCAAACTAAAAAATGCTTATTGACAGAGTTAGAGTTAGATTTGACTCTTAGTTAACAGTGTGCATGACCTCGGGCCAAATCGTTTCCCGTCCGACCCTCCCTTTTCAGTCAATAAGTACATAACACACCTGATCATTCCTGATCATTCTGTTGTTTCAATAACATAACATAACAACATAACATAATGGTTTATTCACAATTCCTCACCTTGTATACAGATAATAGAAGAAAAAAAATAAAGCAAAAAACATGTTCAAATTGAGCCCAAAACAAGCAGAACGATTTTTTACTTTGTTCCGATAAATATAATTGTCTTAAACTTTGAAAAATAATGGGCTATTACCTGTTATTCTGGAAAATAACAACAACAAATATAGAAAGAGAGAGAGAGAGAGAGTCCCGTGCAAAATTTGTGGGTTTTGCCCTCTTGAAGTTCAAAACGTTTTTGATTCTTCAATAAAATCGTGAAGATTATTCAGCGGTTTTTGAGCGCGCGCAAATCGTGGGCTCAAATCGAAAGTTGAAAAGTAGTCAGGCCACCTTAATTAAATATTTGAACTTTCAAAGCAAAGAAGGATTGCTTGTTTGAACTTCAGTATTGAATGCGCGCGGTTTCATGTTTCAACCAAATGATTAAATGTTTGACCTTGTACTGAACCACGTGATTTCATGTTTGATCCACAGAATTGAATATTTTAACTAAATGATCCAGTGTTTGAATTACGGCTTGAACTTACGTTTGAATTAAAGGATCGAATTTTCAACGAAAAATTTGAATGTTTATTATTTTTTGGATTGAATGTTTGGACCAAAGGATATCACATACCGAAAGGATTGATGCATGTGTTTAAACTCCAAAGAATTGCGGCACGTTTGAACCACATATAATTCAGCAAATATTTGAACTAATTAAAAGATTGAATGTTTGGATGAACAGGATTAAATGTTTGGACCAATGGATTGCAGTGAATGCAATCCATTTTTACCACTGAAAGGGCTGCAGGTTTGAACTAACGCATTGCATATTTAATCGAACCGAATTATTAGACAAAATCACTTCATTTTAATGTGATCGAATTATTGATTGATTGATTGATTGATTTACCTATAAGATAGTCTCCAACTAAAACTATTAAAAATAACAACATCAAACAGGTAACTAATAAATGAATGGCCAAGCCCTACAGTTGAAGCAGCGGCATTTCGTCACCCAAGAACAGGTATTAGTGGTCTCAAAGGAAGACAAAAATTTGTATAGGAAATCGCACGATCTTCTCGTACAATTTGGAAATTAATAGACACGAGTAATGTTTTGAAAGTTCTTGTAAACTTTCAAAACATTACGAGTGTCTATTAATTCCAAATTGTACGAGAAGATCGTGCGATTTTTTGTTTATAGTTCACTCAACAAAATTTCAGTAAAAAATGCGAAGCGACGCCGTTCATCTTTGTCTATTTGGCGGCCGATTTCCAGTCCATCGTGCAACTGAAATGCATAAAAAAGATTAGTTCTTACGGCTTTAAAATTTTATTTATGCTTTTTAAGTACAAAATGTTAGAAAATAATTGTTTTGACATTGTTTTGGCCGTGTTGCCATAGCGACTTAATTCGGTACTCCTACGGAGTACAATTAACGCTATAATTGTACTCCTCTCGACCAATCAGAGTCGAGTAATTTTGTTGAGTGTACTATAAGTCACAACAATGAGTAACAAGTAAGCGCTTGAAGGAATTTGAAGGTGCAGAGATAGCTTGCCTGAACTCAGCCCGCAGATAATTCCATAAGGAAACCACACAACTGAATTAAGATGAAGCAAAGGTCTCAGTCTTAAATTTCAAAAAGTTATAAAGTGGTCCCTTATCTGCTCTCCTTGTACGTTTGGGAGGGTTATAAACGCTCAGATAATTTGACAAGTCTAAATCTTAGACACCCAGTTTGCATCTGAAAAGGAAAAGATGTCTGACAATTCTCTTAGCATGGACAGGGGCAAAAGCTTTGAGGGAAATAAGTCTAGAAATAAGTCAAGTCTAGTCTAGACTAGTCAGCGTCAGAGCGTAGGATATACCTCGTAGCTCTACCTTCAACACCTTCAAGCTCTTAAACAAGATTACGCTCGATGTGAGCAGACCCGACGACTGGGACTCCAAATTCCAACTTGCTTCGAACTAAGGATAATTAAGTAGAGCAATTTCTTGGCAACCAAACGCGCCCTCCAACCACAACTACGTTTAACAAACCCATGCGAACGGTTGCCTTTTTWAAAAAATGATATCAATGTGGTTATTCCACTTAAATTCGTGTGAAACCTCAAAACCAATTAAGATCAGTGTAACCATTTACACTATCAATTTGACCATCACCCATGCAATAGGCATAAGTCACTGGACTAGAAGATCGAGTTATGCGCATGATCGACTTACACATCTTGGAGTTAAAAGACATCCCCCACGAATCACCCCATTCCTCTATTGCTGAGATATCATGTTCAAAATTAAGACAATCCTCTAAAGTGGTGATTTCCCGAAAACACTTTGATTTCCCAGATGGGCCAAGGATCTTCCCGATACGGTGAAAGACGTCAACCATCTGTTTGGTACACGACCTACCCTTGCCAAAACCGTGTTGGAGGAAATATAACTAGTACTGGTGTTGCAAAATAGGATAGATAATATCGAGAGCACATCTCTCCAGCACTTTGCTAGTAACCGACAACCAGGGAAATTGGTCGATAATTATCTACAACATTCTTATCACCCTTCTTATGAACAGGAGTGACATTGGCTTCCTTGAAACCCGATGGAAGTATGCCTGATGATGATGACTTGAATAAGGCGCAGAGCGATGGAGAGAGAGCGTCCGCGCATTCCCTAAGCACCCTAGGAGAGAGAGAGAGAGATCGTCAGGGCCAATGGTCTTATTTTGGTCGAGATTACTTAATACTGATTTAACCTGGGAGATTGATAATTGGAGAACTCTTAATGATAGATTCGCATAATTGGCATTGCATTCAAAACTACTTGTATGCGTATAGTGATTGAACACAGAAGGGAAATATCTATTAAATAGATTAGCTTTATCCAAGGAGGTACATGCTGCTAAACCGAGAGCTTTGATTATACCTCAGGGTAACGTACGAGGCTTGTTTTTGGTCTGAAAAATGGACCAAAATCGCTTAGAGTTACTATATAGGTCTGAGCTAGCATTGCATATAAATTGAAAGTGCCTTTCCTTAACTAAGTTCTTGAGCTTATTAGTTAGTTTGCGTAATTCACCTCTCAGGTATTCAGACCCAATGCGTTCCAGCTTCCGCCATACGGTGTTCCTCTTGTCTGACAGATGAATGATATCAGAATCGATCCATGGTGGAGAGAGAGAATTCCTGACATTGACTGTAGCGGCTTGGGGTCACCCTTGCTGTCAACTAGACCCGCGGTTACGCCGCTTGGGGAGAAAGGCTTAAACACTGTAATCCATACTCGATTCTTTATTGTAATAATGTTGGATCACTTAAAAACTCTTTCCTCCCGTACAGTATTCAATCTAAAGCCACGAGGCTGAAACATTATACTACGCTAATAGTAATTGACGAAGTGACGTAATCGAATAAACAGCAAATCATTTACATTGACTTTGGGTATGTTAGCGTCATGCAATTCATTTAAACACAAGGCCAAGCCAGGTGGACCAGTTGGAATTTATATCACTAGCTTCCAGCGCTTGATCTAAATTGGCTTTGATGAGATCAGGTCTAAGCTTGTCAAAGTTTGCCTTTTTGTAGTTGTATAAACTTGACGTCAAAAGTTCTTTTTCCTAGATCCTTTGACGTTGATCTTGAAGTTGATTGCTAGATGGTCTGTGTCTACGGTTGACTCGAAACACTCTGGAGTACAAAAAAGTTCGGGGAAATTGGTTGCCACTAAATCAAGGGTATTACCATGTTTGTGAGTAGCAGTATCTACTACCTGAGTCAGCGAGAAATCGTCCAAGATGTCACAGAACCGATTCTATAATTCGCAGGAAGAAGAGTTCAAGCGCCAGTTAATACCGGGGAATTAAAAGTCCCCAAGAAGTAGAAGATGACTAAAGCCACTTGAATCAAGGTTAGGTTATGTAGGTTTAGGATCTTGTAAATGAATCATTCTCCGTGGGAGGCCTATAGGCAACAATGACAGCAATTTTAGGAAACCCTGAGATGTTGAGCTCACAGATCAAGATCTTAATACCGCTACTTAACTCTGGTTTACTCGAGCAAGATAGATCTTCCCTTGAGGCGAATAGTATTCCACCGCCCCTTTTGCCACTCGAGTGATCAAGCCTAAGCACATTGCATCCTTTAGGCAAGATCTCAGAGTCCTCGACAGAGATGTTGAGCCAAAGTTTCAGTTAAAGCGATTAGACTTGGAAGGCTAGTGTAAACTAAATGTTGGAATTGGACCAATTTGTTAGTAGAAGCGGTGACACGTTTAAGACTTCTACTAGAAGCAAGAGCATTCAGGAGTAAACAACTCACATCTGAGGGACCATTTACTTCGTTTATTTTAGGGAGATGAAAGGAGGTGAATCTAAAGCTGGTTACAGTCGACGTCGAAGCTGAGAGAACGGTGGAAGACAGCATTGGCTGCACAGCCATTCCTCTGTCGAAAGACCAAGTTGAATAAGTTCTTCATTGGGAATGTGCTGACAGTTCGAGTGGAACCACGACGAGCAACGGTCACAGAAGACTGACTCTTGATTTGATCTACATGGTTGAAAGTGCCGCATGGAAAATTAGATCTTGAATTTTGGCAAGAAAAACGACCTGTTACAAATACATTGTGTCCTATTTGGCTTTCAAGGTATGTCACATGTCAAAAGTTTAAGCTGGCTTATTAAAAAAGTTACTAGCTGCTCTGTATTTTCTAAAACCGGAAACGAAGTATTGCAAAACTTGACGTGCTCTAGAGGGTCATTCAGACCTTGCTGAACCAGATTGTTCCTGAATCAAAACAACTGGTTGTCTACCCTTTTCTGCCCTTCTTTCTATTGCCAATTCAATAAATAACGTGTATAGAATATTTATCCGCCCCATTTGGCATGCATTTAAAAAATAGAAATGAATGAACGAAAAAAGGATACAAAAACCGAACGGAAGGATGGTTGAATGTCTGAATGTGCTTGCCATGGGTTAGTTAGTGAATGAGTAAGTGGTTGAATGTGTCAATGAATGTTGGAAAGAGACGAATGGAATTACAGAGAAAAAGAAAAGGCAAGGAAGGAGAAGAAAGGGATCCAAGATAAGTTTTTCATTTGAAAAGCAAGGCCCTTATTGCAGTGCTATATTTAACAATTACTTGCCAAAGGTGAAGTTATTATTGACTCATAATCACTGGTCGCTCGTTTAAGATCATGCTATAAAAACCTATTACGTCCCTAATCATATTCTTTTTGTAATCACTACCAAATCCTGAATGCAATCTGATTGGTTCAAAGGAGTGAGATTAATTCCAAAATCGCATCCTTAGAAGCTCTTAATCGCATCCTTTTCAGTTCTTAATCGCATCTTTTTGAAAGAACCAACAATCACTGCAGAACATAATTCTTATATTCAGCCAATCAGAGAAGAGAATGATTAGCATTATTTGTGAATATTTAATGATTTGCTGATAAATCGTTTATTTTATACCAGGAAAAACATTATTGATTTACTTCTTCTTCTACATTAAATTGATTATTCTGCACTGTTTATTGTGTCTTTTTCTTGTGTATGATTACGAAAAGGATATGATTAAGTGGTAATTGAACTTCGTGTCGTACAATTTTGGACCAAAACCATACGAGTGATTACAAAATTGCACTCCACTCAGTTCARTTACCATCATACGCAGCAAGTAATTATAATTTTTAGACTAAAATCTACATCAGGTTTACATTTGACCTGCTTGGAACCTTTTTGCCAATTGTTGTGTCTAATACTTGAGTCAAGGAACAACATGTCCAAAAGTATATGGGAGGCATAGGTTATCGATGACCTGAAGTTGCTCCGATAATCAGTGTCGATAGCACGCTCCACATACACAGCCGACAAAAAGGACCAATCGATTCTTTTACAGTCAAGGTAAGGGAATAGGTTATATATGTACGGTGAACTAGCAAGATAGTATTTTATTTCCATTTACTGATAATATATGCTTTGTTGGTTGTTTTTTTTACATTATGCTATCTTATAAATATAATTTAATTGCTTCATGTTCGCGAGTAGTTCTTGATTTAAACGAAGAGTTAAATTTGCGTTTCAAGGTCTTTACATACTTCCACATTACGGATATACAGTCAATTTTAAAAACGTTGTCGTCGAGCCTACGCGACTTGACCGAAACGAAACATGAGGAAAAATCACTGAAGAAGTTAAATATTCGTTTCTAAATTGATTTTTCATGCTAGTAATTATTCAATTCACAATTTGAAAGCACCAAAAAAAAAAAAAAAAAAAAAAAAGAAAAACTCTCCTTTAACATTTACTGCTCGCCTACGAAGGTTCGTCTTGTAAACCATCAGATATTTTGTTTTCCTTATAATTATGCTAGCATTGTACACTTTAGCTATATTTTAACGAAAAAAAAAAAAGTTGTGTTAAACCTTTATCGAAGCGATTTTCAAGTTGCCAAAAATTACCCAGAATGAACCCGAAATTTATCCGGCATAGTGTGGACGGAGCCTTTAGTAGAAAGTGATATTATTTAGTTCAATATGAATTTAGTATTGTTGGACAGATTTTATTTAGAAATAAGTGTGAGCACTTTATAAATAGCAATGAAGTTTGGATCGCCAATATTTCAATTAAAGTTCAACTGTTTCCTGGCAAAGCCACAAGAAGAAAAGCTAAAACAAATCGCTTTTATTAGATTAAAAGACATCTTACCATGATCTTCCTAGTATTTCTGTACTGCGCACGTCCTGCCCTGTTTGTTCATGTTTTCTTGTGTGTTTTTGTGTTTGTGTTTGTGTTTCATGATTTGTATCGCTAGTGTATTTACGATTGTATTCTTGGATTTGGATACTGCTGTACTGCTGGTGGTTGTCCTTTATATTTCTAACAGAATATTATCTCAAAGAATATTCTCTTGTGTTTGCTGCAACTCTGGGCCATCGTAAATGATGGTGATTATGAAAACAAGCCTTTACATCTTTGGATTCCTTGATAACACAAAGTCTGAATTCTTGTCAGTAGTCACTGATTCCTATTGTTGCTGAAACCCACCTTCAGGATAAAAAGCAACAAAACAAAACTGAAGAATTAGATGCTTTTTTTTATTGTTTTCCGTTGTGTTGACGGAAGAAACTCAATTAGCCCCCCCCCCCCCCCCCNAAACTCGATTACCCACCCTAAGCGTTTGGCTTTAGCATTTTAAGCCGCATTTTTCGCATTTTGCTAATTCTTTTTCTCAATTAAAAGTCTGTCTTCTCTGCAGAAACACTGGAAGATGTGTGTATTTATTATTTGATTATTATTTGCTTCCAGCTCCATCCGTACTGAAAAATGCCAGTAAAATATTGCTTCCGCTTTGTTTGTGATTGGTGCAAAATATCACGCCACCAGCTTTTTTCACGTTCTGATCACGTGCACTTGTTTATTTTCATCATTGTTGTCACGTGCAACTTATTTTCCGACCTAACTTATTTCCCGGTCGGGATGACACCAGGGAAAAACGTTTGCGCATACGTGCACTTCAGCACGTTTTCTAAGAATTTTGAAGAGTTTGAGTGAGAAAATAAATGTTGTTTTCTCCAAGTGTACAAAAAAGACAAAAAAGTTCGAGAGTATACTTTTGTCAGACCAAAATACTGTATTAACAAACACAGTAATGAAAGAATTAATCTTAAGTTTCAAGCATGGACGCTAAGTTTTGGCGTTTTCTGAAGTCCTGTTTATCAGTCATGTTTGAAAGTCAAAGTTACTTATGTTTTGACTAATTTGCATACGGATTCAGAGCATGCGCGGACGTTTTTCACTCATGTCGGTCGGGTTACATTTAGGTTTAGCTAGTGTCAAGTGGTCATCTTTCAACCAATGAGAGTGTTCGTTATACCGGAAAATTTCGTAGCTATATAACAATTCCTCTTATTTACAAAGAAGCAGAGGTAAATAAGAGGACATACCAAGGAAAACTGAAGGAAATGTTTCTTTTCTTTTTTTTTTTTTTTTTTGCCACAAAAAAATTCGTAAAAATTTGACTACAAAAGCAAGGGTAAAGTTTTAAAGAAAAAACGGTTTCAATCGCATGCGTGAATTGTTGACGTAATTGATCGGTATGTCTTCCTATTTCCCCCGGCTCCAGACCAATCAGAAAGCGAGAAAATTCACAATAGTGATAAAATTTCGTGTCTTTTAACCCCAAATTTCAAAAACCTCCCATTTTTTGATTGTTTGAATTTCAGTTTTGTTTTTGTTTTGAAAACTAGGACATGAACTCAGGAAATGTGAACATATTTATTCACAGAATTGCCCAGGTACAGTTCGAAACCAACCACTTACCAAAGATAGGCGCCTCTTAGACCTGAGTGGAAAAAAAATAGGCCAACAACACGAAACCTTCATAACACTACTAGTTAAGTCATTATTTGTCCAACGCTCTAATTCTTTCAGGTGGAGATTAAATTACTGAGAACACTTTTCACTTTTAACCGATTATGTCACTTTTCACTTAGTTTTATGGATTTTTATGAGAAGACTCGTGATACTTCACAGTTCAACTTTTAAAAAGCTCTGTAGCAAAGTGGCAGCATTTTGTTTCTTATAACATTTACAGGCTACATATGACAGACTAGCTACATTTAGTATATGTTCGTAAGTGGACTTTGCTTGTGATTGTTGCGCTATAGCTCCTCCTCCTCTTCTTCTTTTTCTTCTTCCTTTTTTATATTTTATATTTTAGTGATTAGTTAAGGCCTAGAGCTAGCTCCAAGAGAGACGAAAGGAAAATCGTAATTTCTGACACCGGTAACTCTAAACTCTAAACAATTTAATTTCTTCTGCTTCACATTTGCAATCATATTCGAATACTTAATGCTACAACGGCAACAAAACAAATAGTTTAAATTAAATTATTAAAATAAAGTAAAATAAAATAAAAATTTCTGCTCAAAAAAGCTATGTTTCCCCCCCGTGTTTTTAATGCATGCACTTAGAATGACATCTAGTGCTCGATTGTAGTGCTTTCGAATTCGATTGATCTCGGTATTCGTAACGTCTTTTAAACTAGTCTATTTTGATTAAAAAGAATATGCTTCATTTTCGATTACTATGGATTGTTTTTAAACTAGATTACCCATCAATATCCAGATATAAAACCTCTATATTGCTTCATAAACTGAACCCGTATTTCATTCAATCGTAAATGAAGACTATTTTTGTGCTCCTCAGATATTTAACGTTACGTCCGTAGTTTCTTGCCTTCCAATTGTGTCAAGCCGAAGTTAGGTACGTTGACTTTGTATGATCATGTCGTTTTTTAGCCTAATATTAGGAACATGTTTGTTTTCATTGAGCTACTGAAGAATATATAATTCTACTACGTTATCTGGTTTTGTTTGGCTCTATCGGGTTGTGTCGATATCGATTTCTGTCAACACTCAGCATGATATTCCATTAGTTGTCATTTTAGTTTTGAATGGCAGAAGAAAAAAAACATTCTGCGCTCTCACACCAGGAAGCAAATGCCATTGATAATGAGAAAGTTGAGAATATATATTCAACTTGATATATATAGACTTTGTTGATTCTTTTTAAGGCGACATTTGCTACAAATGAAATATATGATTGGCCTGGACTTCGGTGTTAAAGTTGAGCATACTGGAACGAGTTATGAGACAGAGTATAAATAACTGCTGTGCATCGATTGGGTTTAGTGTCAAATCCTGACCAGCTTACTATCAGCACTTCCTTAATTTGAAGGTATGTTCCGCATTTCGAAAAGGAGATTTTGCGCTCGGTTCCGTATGAGTGGGAAACATACAGTGAACACTGAAATGGATTTTCATTGTCTCCAGTCACTTGAATGTAAAGCGTATAGTTACTGAAGTACGGCTACGAATCAGATGTAGTTTTTCCACTCATACGAAACTGAATCACTCTACATATTTTAATATATTTTTCTTTTCTGTTGAGTAAAATTGAATTGAACTTATTGAATGTAATGATACTGGATTTTTCTTGTGCGTGTGTATGTTTTTGTTGTATGTCTCTATTTTGGTACGTTTTAACGAGAGTTGAGAAATTATTCTCTGTAGCCAAATCAACCAATATAGTAAACGGTTTTGGTATGATCACTCTATGTCGCAGTTTTACTACACATCTACCAGCAGAATGCCTTTTTAGAATCAAGTAAGAAAATCATGTATTCAACTGACAAGCTAATTTATTACCACTCTTTTCATTGCTACGCGCGCTGATCGAGACAACAGTCGCGACAGTGAAATTGGCTCGGCGCCTTTATATTCTCTGATGGGTTTGTAGAATGGAAGTCGTATATTCTTTACTTTAGGCTAACTCTTGGTAAATTTGAACACCAAAATGAGGCTAACCATGAATAAATAATTCTGTAATTTGAGACTTATTAACGTGAAGGTAATGTTTTGCCCATTTCAGACGACATTTCCTTTCCTTGAGAATCATATCTTTGCTTGGATGCAAATTAATCAAAGAATCTTATTCTTAAAGAAGAGCTATGTAGTCTGAAATGGGCAAAGCAAACACCCAAGAAAAAGAGGTCTTTCAAAAGGCATAGTAATATAGTTTAAAAAATTGAAAAGAAAAAGGCTAAATATCACTAATTTCCACAATATTCATCGCAATAAACTAAAAAAATTAATGATAATGTTCAGGTGGCCAAGCATAAACAATATTTTTTCGACAACCTTGAGCTAAGACTTTAATTATATCAAAAATAATTGAGTTTTTATAATTGTATTTTTTGTCCATCAAAATAGGGAAGTGAAAACACCTTAAGTTTGCCGAATGAGAATGAGAAATGCGATGGTTGGCCGGCTACAGGCTAAGTAAGAGTTAATTACCTCGGACGGAGGCAATAAGCCATATACATCCCGAGGGCCGCAGGCCCGAGGGATGTATAGGCTTATTGCCGACGTTCGAGGTAATTAAGTATTTTATTTATCAATTGAGAAGGTTTTCTATCAAATGTTGCTCATTATAAATGCGAACGGTCTATATATA